TCTTAGAAGTACAATTAAGTGTTCTGCAATGGGGTAAAAGTCATAAAAATTTGGATTTCTTTTTAAATATCAATGAAGCATGTTCAATACATCAATAATAAATGGCTAGTTTTTTTAAAAAAAATTCAAATACGATCATCAGTTATCACGGAGATAGAGAAATCTATTGTTGTTAACAGCTGTCAAGTCAGTTCCAACTCATGGTGACCCTATATAGGGTTTCTGAGGGCTGACTGGTGAGTATGAACCACCAACCTTGTGGTTCAAACTTACCTTGATGTTGAGAGCTTATCCTATGGCGCAATACCAGGGTTTTTTATGTTAGTTCTGTGGAGTCCGCACCAATATACAGGGACCTTATGTTGCTTCTGCACCATCTTCATGATCATTGGTATGTTTCAGTACAAATGAAGTGTCTGTCTGACACTTAACAATATAGTCCCAATTATACAGAAAAAAAAAAAGACTTAATTTCATTTAATTTGATTTGCATTTTCTTTTCCTATTTTCTTCATGTTAAACAGAATCACAAATTTAAAACTTTCAATGACATTTAAGGAAAATTTTCCATTTTAGAAGGGGTATAGAAAGTGGAAGGAGCCCTGGTGGCACAGAGATTAAGTGCTTGGTTGCCAACAGTAAGGTCAATGGTTTGAGAACCCATACGCCATTCAGTAGGAGAAAGATGTGGCAGTCTGCCTCAGTAAAATTACTGCCTCGGATACCCTATGGGGTCAGTTCTACTCTGTCAATAAGGGTTGCTATGAGTTGGAATCAACTTGATAGCGCAAAACAACTGAATTGGTTCTTTTTATAATTTAATTTTTTTAACATACTGTAAATATTTGTCAATTTGCCAGATCCTCTAGGTAAAAAGTTCCTACATTCTACTTATTAGTTTCTAAGTTATAATGAGCTTCTCCATGTGTAAATAAAGCCTGAGCCAGGAATAGTTAAGTCTTCAATCAATTTGTATCTACACTGAATGCTCACCATATGCCAGACAGAGTTGAAGCAATGCTAACTTATTTAATTCTCACAGAGGAGAGTAATATTTCCAACTAATACCTCAGGCTTAGTAGGAACTCAAATTTGCATGTTTCAAATCAAGAATTGTTGTTCATGACTTAAAGATAAGAGAAAGAGGTAGGACTGGTTGGTCGGAAGTGTGGTAAGACCTGGGGATTCCTGAGTCCAGGGACAAGGTAATAGCCATGGAGGGATAGAGCTGAGAGTGAAGCATCCAGCTGATATGAAGTGAGGGGAGATGCACAAGAATGCCCAAACTTGTAGATAGTACCCACTTGACCTAGCTTTGATGGCTTCATAATCAGAACTCAACTAGAGGAAGATAAAAACAACAAAAACAACAATTTTCGACAAAGGAAATGAGTGTAAATTGCTACAATTTGATGAACTTGACCTATACTTATGGATGTAGTGGCTCAAAATACCAACTGAGAGGAAAGGAGTATTCATGTTAAGGATCAAACCTATCCCCTCTGTATACAGGGTTGATAGGAACGGGCAACTTAGATATTGAACACCTAAAATGAGGGTGTGATAAAGGCACGAAGTGACTGGCTTACAAGTTTTCAAGAGCAAGTTCAGTTTAGTGTGCGGGGGAAGGAAAAGCCCCTACTGAATAGTTTTCATCTTGTCTAGACGGGTCTGGTGAAAGGAGATAGGATAAGATTCTTATGATTCAATAGTGAGTAATTGTTATCATGACTAATTGTAACTGTCACAACTGTAAAGGTAGAAGTTTTATAATGAAAATGGGAGAGTAGTTAATCTTATAGTACAGAAACAGAGGACCTTAGGACCATCAAGAGGGAACAGTGCAAGCAGAGTGAGGGACCCTACCCAAAGCAGCAGTGACACCAGAGATGAAAACAGAGTTGAGGACATGGAGAGAGGGAGCAACTGAGGACTGTGGACTCATGGAAAGAGAGGGACTGGGTGCTGGCAGCCAAGAGGCAGGCTTGCAGAATGTGCCCTTTGGTTGTTTAAATTATTATATATTTCTGAGTGTTTCTGTGTATATCCCCGCCCCCCAACAAAACAAAACAGGGAATTGAAGCAAATACTGTTGAATGATGATGCACGGAGGAGACTGTAATCAGTGCAATGAAACGATGGTGTAAAGCTGTTGTCTCCCATGTAAACTAGCATTCAGTTCACAATAAAAACTTACAAAAAAAAGATTTGTTTTTTAAAGAACCCATAATGATTTGAGAGTAAATAGATCTTTTTTTTCACCTTTCTTGAAGTCCTTTGAATATTTGTACCAAGGTGTCAGCAATTTCTTCCACAACTTCATGGTAATGGTAATTAAAAGCCATTTCAATATCCAAACCAACAAATTCAGTTAGATGTCTGTGGGTATTGGAGTCTTCAGCTCTGAATACTGTAAAGTTACATAATGAAATAGAGAGCAAATGATATTTTAAGTTTTAGTGAAATTGGGACTTAAATGCAAATTTCTTTTATTAGTACTCAAATGATACAATTTTCCTATTATTATATGGCTCGAAAGACCTTTGATAAACCATCTGTTTTGTTTCCTTTTGGGTGGTAAGTTCTTTACAAACTCCTACAGTCACACAGTAAAAGCTATATCAAATGTAAATTAATAAGTGAGGCTCCTGAGAACACCAAGCAAATACAAGATCCTGAGGTGCCTTTCTCAGTAATTAAAAATAGATCCAATTATGACCAACATACTGAGTTCTTCTCATTCTTATTAAAATTTGACTCAAATGAAATGAAACTCTGTACAAATTAATATTATACATATTCTGGCCATCATTAACTCAGTTTAGTTCATTTTACTCTCACTATACTTTCCACCTTCCTGGTTTTTCTGACTCTAGTTCTGCCCCATCTTTCACTCCACTGTGAGATTTACACTCTTATAACATATTCCTTCTCAGTAACTTATAATGATTCCCAAATGACTACTGGAATAAGACATAAAATGAAAAATGTTTAACAGCTTTATGCTTTCCCAATTTACTGCTAACCTCTAGTTCCATTTCTTCATGCTAACTAGTCTTAATGTTTTCTCCCACAGTTCATGTTCTTTCTTTAACTCAATTCATCTGACTAGATTGCTATCTCCATTGTCTAAAAGAGGAGCTTCAAAAATCACATGGAAAAATGCTATTAAAAGATATTGGGGAAAAAAAAAAAAAAAGATATTTGAATTTTTCCATGAACTTTTTGAAGGCCCTCATATGTATCCTACTCTATCCTTAAAGCCCATTTCAGTTTGAATTTTCTTTGTAGTGACTAGCAAGCATCATCTGCTCCTTCTTTTGACACTTATTATTGATACTACATAATTAACACCAGTCCACTGATTGTACAGGACAATCTCATTATTCACTGTGAAAATAATTTCATTATGCATGTCTTATCCTGTCTAAGCATGGACAATGTTTATTCCCTCGCATTCAAACTGTAGTCTGCAAACCAGCAGCATTGGCATTACCTGGGAGCAGATGAAAAACTAGAACTCTTACGCCCTACCCCAGATCAGAATCTGCATTTAAGAAAATTCCCAATGATTCATTAATTCCCAAACATTAATGTTTGAGAAGAGCTGGTTGATTCTTCTTTTATATACACAGTACCTAGTATAAGGTTATATAAGCAGCAGGTGTTCAATAAATAACTGGTTAATAAACTCAGATAATTAAGGCACTTAATGATCTTCCTAGTTTCTCCATTAGCAAGCATTTAATTTTTATTAAGCTACCAAAAAATTTCTATGAAATAACTTGGTACATTTTAAAGAGTAAAGCTGGTGTTTTGCTTATAATTAACTTCATAAAAGAATTTGTCACATGATTAAGTGCCAGTGTTCGTCTTTTAACAAATATCTTAAAAACCATGTTAAGATTATTTATGAGGGGGCTTCAAGAAGTTCGTGAAAAAATTCTTTCAATCCAAATTGTCCACAAACTCTCTAAAACCATGTTTTATTAAAGATCAGTAATCTGTAGTGGACTTCAGCAAATTACCAATATTACTAATCTCTAGTGGACTTCACCACATTACCAGTACTAAGGACAGTACAAACAATAATAGTGAGAAAAAGCAGGAATAAAACTGCTAGCAAATATAAATTCACAATAGTGGTTATGGGACTACGAATGACAACAGAATGCTGTATTTGGAAGACTGCAAGTACCTGCCTGTTCTTTCATATTGGTGGGGAGTTGAAAGGTTAGTCCAAATTGGAGTTAATTCAGAGTGGATTACAGGAAGCCCTGTGCCATACTAGCTCCTACATTAGATTGCTAATCTCAAGGTCAGCAGTTTGATTCCACCAGCAGCTCCACCAAAGAAAAAGGAAGCAGTCTGCTCCCGTAAAGATCTGTAGCCTTGGAAACTGTCGGGAGTTCTACCCTGTCCTGTAAGTGTCACTATGAGTCAGAAATGATGTTTATTTTTTTAAGGTATAATAAAACTCGATGGTTTTTTTGTGAGTATAATAAATAATATATTTAGGTATACAAATTGAATTAAAAGATAGTGGAACTTTTACACAAATTTTTTGAAGCTTCCCTCTTATAATGCTATTCACATGAATGATGGTTAAACAACTATTGAGCACACTTCATTTTTCTGAAATGTCTACCCAAGCACACTGGTATTTGCACTTCAATGTCTAGTGCTTATATAGTCAGCAAAGAAAGTATGTAAGCCTTCAAAATGCTTGTGCGTTCTATGTATGTAATGTGTTTATAAAATCATAGCTACTGTACAATGAATGAACGTCAATAAAAATGCCAAAACCTTACCTGGTCCAATACAAAAAACCTTCTCAAAATCAGCACAAATACACATCTGCTTATACAGCTGTGGGGACTGAGCCAGATATGCATTATTTTTAAAATACGACACAGTAAATACATTGGCTCCTCCTTCACTGGCAGCTAAAATATAAATATTCATATTTTTATTATCAATTGTAAGCTTATCAATGCAAACCTAATAAAAACAAGTAGTTCAAATAGTTTACTTAAAAACAAAAAAAAGGAAAAGCAACAATTGCAGATAAATCATAGCGGATCAGTTTTCTTGTTCTTATACCTGGTTCAGGTGTGGTGCTGTAGGATAAGTATACTGGGCTGTTTACTCCAAGGTCAGTGGTTCCTCCATACAGGTGAGTTAAAGAACTGACTGAATGGCACTAACAACAGCCACATACTTGATTCTAAAGAGCTTACAGTTACGTCAGACTTACCTCTTTGGATAAACATTCATTTTAATGCCATTCCCTTCCTTTATGCATCAATTTCAGATCTATTAAAATTCTATTACTTTGGTTGTTGCTTGTTGTTGTTGTTAAGTGCCGTGGAGTCGGTTCTGACCCACAGCGACCCTGTACAGGGTTTCTGAGGCTGTAAATCTTTATGGGATCAGAAAGCCTCATCTTTCTCCCGCGGAACAGCTGGTAGTTTCGAACTGCTGACTTGCAGTTCGCAGTCCGATTAGTAACCACTACGCTACCAGAGATCCTTGGTTGTTGCTAAGTGCTGCCAAATCGGTAAAACTCACAGTGACACTGTATGAGGTTTTAAATCTCTGTGGGAGCAGAAAGCCTCATCTTTCTCCCGTGGAGCAGCTGGTGGGCTTGAACCACCAACCCTGTGGTTTGCAGTCCAGTGCTTATTGTATGGAGCCACTGTGCTCCCTGCCAAACACATATATTCCTAATTAATCATTCTTCTGATCATAAAGAATGTTAAATTTCTTTTAATTTATAACTAAATGTCGGCACTGTAGGATAATCACTGGACTGCTAAACATAAAGTTAGAGACTCACCAGACACTCCTTGGAAACCCTACAGAGGGTTGTTATGACTCAGAATCGCATGAAGGGCACATAAAACAATTAAATGTCATTTGTAACACACTTTATTTTTTTAAGTGTTACACAAGCAACTCTAAAAATGGTAAAATGATTAAGGGTCTCAGATAAGAATGAGAACTAGTGAGATTTTCTCATTTGTAGTATTTTGTGACTTTATAGTGTTGTTTGTACAAAATAAAATTGCAATACCAATTTCAAAAGAAATCTACATAGTTGAAAACAGTTCTGGTGCAACTCAAGCAACAAGACTCTTACTGTGTATGTGTTACTGCTTCCACTTACACACAGACTCCTGAAATACGGAGATGTAGTATTACTGATGCTAGTAATATGGGATTGCTGCTATATTACAGTTGTCAAAATAAATCTTCCATTGGCAATAAGCCTTAAGGGACACCTGGGATTCTCAAATTAAAAAAACAACCAAAAAGAAAACGAAGTTAACTTTGCATAAAGTAAACTTACTTTTATGAGTTAGGAGAAATATTTTGGAGCATACCTGAAATAATCTTGGGAGTCTGGATTTCCACAAAACCTTTGTTAATTAAAGTTTCCCGGAAGAGATGGCAGATGCCAGACTGAAGACGGAAAACTGCTTGACTAGTTGAGGTCTATGAGACAACAATAAAATCTAATAAATCAATATGATATATAACTAAGCACTTATGGTTACGAATCGGGCTGCGAACCTTAAGGTCAGCGGTTCGAAACTACCAGCTGCTCCGCGGGAGAAAGATGAGGCTTTCTACTCCCGTAAAGATTTACACCCTCGGAAACCCTGTACAGGGTCGCTATGGGTCGGACCCGACTCGATGGCACTTAACAACAACAACAACAACTTACTATGTGTTCCAACTACTGCTGGAAACAAAAGAAAAAACCTTTCTTGTTCTCAAAACACACAAAGAAATAGATGACAGAAAGTGATAAGTCACACTAGAATGTAATTATAACATGATCATTAGATTCATTTAGGAGTAATAAAAAGCTTTCACCTAGAAATGCTTAGTAAGCAAATGTTTTTAATTTATATGATTTCCATAAAAGAAAATAATTTTCTAATAACTAAGGACGTACTTTCCTTGTGAATTCTCTTAGTTCTTTTTAAAGAGGCAAACCCATGAAATGATAAAAATCTATCACAGTTTGTATCGCATAATGCTATAGTACAGCATAGTGAGTTATGAGTTAGGCTGCTAACTGCAAGGTCAGTAGTTGGAATGAATCTATCAACAGCTCCATGAGATCAACAGGAGGCTTTCTGATCCCGTGAAGACTTACAGCCTTGAAAACTAGATACAGGGTTGCTGAGTCAGAACCAACTCCAAGGCATACACCACTACCAAAGAAAGTAAGATTTTAGCATCTGACAATAAATAAATCAAGCTACCATGTACTTTCATTTTAACCAGTACTAACAACAACAGCACACTAATTATAGCCATGTGTTTGTTATAATTAAGAAGAAAAAATAACAAAATGTTGACATTTCATGATACTGATTTCCCCAAATGGTGCATAAAGCAATTAATATAAGTACTCTAAGAGCTCTGGTAACGTAGTGGGTACGAATCGGGCTGTGAACCTTAAGGTCAGCGGTTCGAAACTACCAGCTGCTCCGCGGGAGAAAGATGAGGCTTTCTACTCCCGTAAAGATTTAC